CCCCCTGGCTCGACCCCGATTGAATTGGGTACTTGGAGGTTCATGGGTTTTGGGGTTTAGGGTTTGGGGTTTAGGCTTTACGGTTTGGGGTTTAGGGTTTAGGGGTTTAGGGTGTTGGGGTTTTGGGTTTTGGGGTTTTAGGGTTTAGGGTGTTGGGGTTTTAGGGTTTTAGGGTTTAGGGATTGGGGTTTAGGGTTTTTGGGGTTTAGGGAAACCTTATAATCCTAAAGCCGTAAGCCCCAAACCCGAGATGACAACCCTTAAAGCCTAGGTTCAACCGTGTGAAGCCTTCTTGTAGAACACGGCCAAGAGAAGGCTTCCAAAAGGCCAAAGGCGAAGTTGAGCTTTAGGGGTCTAGGCTTTAGGGTAAGATAAAAGGCTTTTGCCTTCGAGCCCTCGTTCTTTGAACCCTAAAGAAACCCTAAAACCCCCAAACCCTAAGCCCGAAACCCGAAAAATCCCAACCCCTAAACAAAAAAAAACCAAAAACACTAAAAAATAATCCAAACCCTAAACCCTAAAAATCCCCAAACAACCCAAACCCTAAACCCCTAAAAGGAGATTTGACATACAGATACAGGATTTGGGACTTGTGGGGCTTTGCATGTCGCTGCGAGGCCGTGTGGGATTCTATAGCGCGCTGCTATGGGAGTTGGGATTAGGGGAACCTTTAGGGTTTAGGGTTTGGGGTTTAGGGGACCAGGGGTTGATGATAGAAATCCTGCATTACCCCATAGTAAGGAAGATACCCTAATTCCCTCATGGTTTAGGGTTCTTGAGGGGATGCAGGATTTCTATCATCAGCAGCAGAATCCTTAAAGAAGGGGACCCGGAGGCTCTCAATAAGAGGCCGTAGAAGGAGCCCTCAAAGAACCCTCTCTGGGCTTGGGGCTTAGGGCTTAGGGTTTAGGGTTTAGGGCGTAGGGTTTAGGGCTTAGGGCTTAGGGTTTAGGGTTTAGGGTCCCATGGAGAACACTAGCGATCTAAGCAGGTGCACGCCGGGCGGCACGATCGAGTCGACCGCGCGCCACGCGCGTGTAACAGGCCGGGACACCATGCCATTGGCAAAGGTCCTCGGGTGTCAGAAGCATTTCGTAAGGGTTAGAAGTTTAGGGTTTAGGGGTTTAGGGGTTGAGGGGTGGGATTCGGGCTTAGGAGGCTTACGGTGTGGGGATTCTATGGTTCCCGCAGTAGGCATTTCCATCAGCTCAAGCCTTTCACAAAGGTTCCGTGACGATCCGTTCTTCCATGAGAACTTCACACGAGCTTCTTCATAAGTATGTCATAAGAATATCCGAAGCCTTTCATAAGAGCGTCATAGGGGGTTCACGAGGATTTCATGAGGATTAGCCCTGGCATAAAGCTTCATGAGGGATTGCGTCTTGAGGCTTCGCAGGGCTCCTTCGCAGGGCTCCTTCACAGGGCTTCACCAAGGTCTACATATGGACACTGTAGGGTTTCATGGAGTTTGTTTGATATCGGGGCCTTGACACCTAGCGCCCTAAACCCTAAACCCTATACCGTGCCTCCGCTCTTTTTGTCTGTCTCGCGAAGTCTCGGTACTCGGAGCTGCGTTTCGCAGCAAAGGCCTGCAGGCCAGGGGCTGGCTGCCCAGAACGAAAGGGGTTAACAGGAACCACCTAAGCCTAGGGAACCACAAGGGAAGGGAAGCCTAAACCCTATCCTCACCCGGGCGGGCAAGGGAGGGCCGAAAAAGCTGAAAGTCACTCGCCGCTTTTCGCTACAGACGGTATACTTGCATACCGTGCCTCCGCTCTTTTTGTCTGTCTCGCGAAGTCTCGGTACTCGGAGCTGCGTTTCGCAGCAAAGGCCTGCAGGCCAGGGGCTGGCTGCCCAGAACGAAAGGGGTTAACAGGAACCACCTAAGCCTAGGGAACCACAAGGGAAGGGAAGCCTAAACCCTATCCAACCCTGCATTGCTTGGCCGAAGGTCACCAACATTCGCAGCATAGAAAAGAAGAAGAGCACGCGCATGCCGACTAAGGGTCTCGATGCGTCTGCGGCTCTGCTGAGATAATCGCTGAAGCAGCAGCTGAGCTGCTACCTCTTGCAAGTAAAATTCAACAGTCTTGACTTTCGCCCAGCGGCCCCGCCAGGCAACCAGCGGAAGATCTTCGGTCTCGAGGTATAAAAAGGTTGCTCCGGAGCCTCGTAAGACTCCCGGAGTAGCTCCGCGCTGAGCCAAAGAACAGGGGACTCCAAGTCGAGTCATGATAGCATTCCACTGCTTACGATACATATGTAAGGAACCCCGAAAGAGCCTCGCTGACCATGGCAACTTGAGGAAGAGAGCTTCAAGGAACTCCAAAGTCACTTGATCATCAAATCTGCAATGCTGTCGCCTCGCAAAGCGTGCAGTCTTGGGGTTCTTAATATGTACGTAGCCGATGCGATCGCTCGACAAAGCGTCTGCTGGAAAAACCAGATCACCACGAGTAAGAAAGATGAGTTCCGTTGGGTGCAACATGCACAAAAAGCCCAAAAGTGTAACGGCGGCCCAATCGGTCCAGTTCCAAAGAACCGCGAGGGCGATGGCGGCCTGTAAAATAGGCTGGGAGATGACGGGGCGGCATTCTCCAGGCTCAGCTGCTTGCCACTTCTTGTCTAGCTGCCAGGCCGGTGTCAGCTGCGAGCGGTATGCCGGGTAAGCGTCCTGCACAGCCGTAATGGCATACACCAGCAGATAACGAGGGTGGCCGGCTTCATACAAGTATAAGCCGTATCCTCGGAGAGCCAGAGCAGCTGACTCCGAAGATGATAGGACCGCAGTAGCGTCGATGCGGAGCTCATCTTGCAGCCAAGCGAGAAAGCCCGAGAAAGCTTTCTGCATCTTATGCCTCGTGGACGCTACAAAGCCGGATTGCAAATCGAGAGGTCCGCGAGGTGAAGGGGAAGGCCCCGGATTTCTCTCGATGTCTCCGCCTAGTAAAAGGAGCAGTCTCAGCCAGCGCCCCGGCAGCTTGGGCACCGAAGCTGATGCTAGCATGACATCGAAGCCGAAAGTGTCGCCGTCGATCAGTTCCTCGAGCCAGCGAGGTAGAGGCTTCGTCGGGCCTGGTACGGGTTTCCACCTCGATGGCCCGTCGCTCCGATTCTGGGCAGAGTAGACGTGCAGTCCAGCCGGGTACAACTGGGAACCTAAAATGTAAGGTAGTGCCCCCTGTAGTACTCGCGTGATGGCCAAACTGCTGGACCGACCCTTGGCAGCTGCACCAAGGAGGACACGGCTATCCAACATGCACAGAAGCCTGCTCATGGGATGGTGCCGTGCTGCCCACTTAACCCACGTTTTGTAGGCCCTGCACTCAAGGACATTGATGTGGCCAGTCTTACTGAACTTGTACCGAAGTAATTCCTTAAACTCAACGCTCTCAGCTAAGTCGGAAATCCATTCAGGATCATCGTGAAAACTGCGAGGTTGCGCCGAGTCCGACTCTGCGAAATCAATGTCCACGTCTGGCATCTCAAACCCCAGATTGATGAAAGTCTGAAGCTTCACGGAAAGCGGCATGGTGGGCACTGCACTGTGCCTCGCTCGCAGACTGCCAGAAGCAATCCTCTGAAGCAACGGCAGAGGATGCCTGGCGCTGTAGTGCGCGAGGGTCTCACCTAGCTGGGGCTCTTGACCAAAGATCTCGAGGGGCTTACAACGGGACTTAAGGAGTTCTAAGGTCGAAGGAGTGAAGGAACCTTTACATCTCATGTGCTCGTAGGGCCTTTTACAGTTGCAGGGGCCACCTAAGTTGCAAAGCCAAGGCTTATTGTGTAACCACTGTAAAGGTCTTTTGAAAGGCGAACCAAAACTACAGCTACAAAGCCTGGTCACCACAGCACCAAGCGAAACGAGGGCACGAAAGCAGTGCAAATGAAACATGACCGAGGCGCCCGGTTGTTCAACACTGAAATACCCGCCTCCGGTGGCTATGATTGCACACAGAAATGCAACACGCCGAGCCAAACGATTGTGCCGCCCGGTGCGTGGCTCGTCTGAGTCAAACCCGGATGGCTGGAATTTGGTCCGCAAGCGAGGCCGACTCCAAGTGCTGAAAGACAGGCTCGGCATGTCAAAATGCCACTCTCGAATGACCCCATCAGCTGCAAGCTGTGCTAGTTCCCGGAAATCGGCCTCCTTGCGCAGGTCAAAAGGGCTGCCATCCGCACGTGTACCGGGGTGGGCTCGCAGCCCCAGGTTGGCATGGACAGGGGCCCAATTTGCATCGCGCCCGAACAGTGCGACGTAATCGAAAAGCTGAGGCTGTGATCCTGCAGCGCGAGAGGGTTGCAACCGCTCAGGGGCTGGCACCTCGACGCTGCCGAAGAATGCTTCAGTCTCAAGCCCAAGCTCACGCAAAGTGGCTGTAGCAGGAGCTTCAAGAGCTGTGTAGTACCCGCGCTGCTCGCCATGCCGCCACAGCTCTTTAACGACCTCGCGGGGCAGATCACCACGGCAAATCCCTGCCCCGTAAGGCGAGGCGTCTGTGCAGAAAACGTGCGGCGCGTAGTCAACGCGAAGATTGGTAACCCACAACGGTGCCAGCCAGGTGAGAGCCTGAAGCTCACACACAGTCTCACGCGAGAGTTTGATCACTTCGTTCATGGGTTGCTTCCGAGCATCCCGAAAGGAGGCACTGAGCAGAGCCAGGCCCGGCCGTCTAAAAAGGAGCACGTGGACCCAGAAGCCCAGTAGAGAGCTAAGAAGGGCCGGCGAAGACACAGATTTGTAGCAAATCATGGCCGTCAGCAGCATGAGCACGCTGATTCTGTGCCGCGGGGCGGAAACAAACCCCGTCACGCCGTCCATCTCGGCTCCCAGGAAACTGCCCACAAACTCGTTGCGTTTGCGCTTGTCTTCATGTTGGATCAGACGCACCTGTGTGTATGCTCGGCCCGCAGCCTCAAAGATCTCCGTATCTCGAGCTCTGAAATCACTATGCAAAGCTCTGCTCGGCACCTTTTGAAGAGTGATGTGATCGTCGATAGCCAACAGCTCTAGGGTGCTGCCCCTAGGTACCGGGCGCCTATGGCTGGCGAACTCGTGCGGTAACACTGAACCTCCTAAAAGCGCGAGGACGTTATAGTGCGATTGTTGAGCGATCTCTACCGCCATATGGTCGCCCATAGCTAGGCTACTCAAAGCAACAACACACGGAGTTGAGTGAAGCTTTGCATCAAACGCAGAGAAATGGGAGATTTCGTGAGGCTGGAAAGGCATGTTGAGTGAGTTTCTCTTTGCTCGAGCATGTGGCACAGCGAACGTATAATACATGTCTGTGAGATCGTCACAGCACATACGCAGATATTCGCCGCTCTCGAGATGAATGCCGCAAGCTAAGCTGCCAGGGGCTAGGTAACGGGTGAAGTTAGCATACTTGCAACAACGACTGTTAACAACAGTGGGATTGAGTATAAGCCTATCAAAATCGGTATTTTTCGGAATGCAGAACGCTCCTACGGCTTCCGAAAGATCGATTTCACTCACAGGAATCAAGCGAAGCGCCTGCTTCCGATCCCACTTCTCGGCCAGGGCGAGAATGTCTTCTCTCGTACCGTGCACCTGTGCCGGGGGCAAACGTGGCCACTGATCCCTAGGGAGCCTAAGCACATCTGGATCGTTGAACACTGCTTTGACAATCGGGTCGGTTAGAAAGGGATTAGGGTCGAAAGTCGGGGGGTGCAACCACTTCACGCGATCTGCCTCAACCCTTTTATACCCGATCCCTGAAGGCAATGTTGCAGTAGCCGGACGTCTAAGGCTGTGAGCGTTAGTGGCCTCGTTTTGCTCTCGCTCCTCCGGCTCAGCAGGACACGCGAGCCCGGGCGGGTGCAAAGGCGCTTCGGGATTCGAAGATTTAACCCTTGTTTGCGCAACGGAATCAGAAAGAGTTCCCTTCAAACCCCTAGATCTAGGTGTACTGCAAATGCTGGGCGCACACTTCGAATCCGCAAAGTCAGAGTTGCGTGTGCAAGCTTCGGGCGCCCTCCTCGGTCCCGGTTCCTTGCCGTAGTGCTGCATAGATGCGGCAAGCTCTCTGATGCAGTCATGCATGTGTCCCTCAGTGAAGCTATGCTTGGATGAAGGAAGCCCCTTAACAAGGCTAATTAACCCGACGAATTTACTCTCGCTCCTCCCCAGCTGTGCAGCTTCGAACGGCGCAGCACGGACGAAATGCCAAACTACGCGCTCCAACTCATTAATCATGAGAGCTTGCTCGTGGCTAGCAGGCGCTCCAGCACGGCACCGATCTGGACAATCTACCGGAAACCCTAGGGCAAGCCAGTTAAGTGTACAGACAATGCGCTGCAGCAGAATGTTGACAGTGTGGTGCAAACGGAGCCTGCGCCTAGTGCGGGGATTTGCGTTGCCTGTCCATCGCCGCCAGCGTGGTGGGGGACAAGGCCAAAGGTCGCTACGCTGTTTAGCGGGCTGCACGTTACAGACTACAGGTCGCAGCGAGCTGGCTATGAAACTAGAAAGACCATTGCGAGCACAACTAGCGACCCCTAAAAAACTATCGAGCCAGGAACTAAACCCTAGGGGTTCGGCGGGCAAGTCAGGGAAGGAATGCGGCGATGCGGGACAAGCGAAAACTTGTTCACAAGATGCAGTGTCACTTGAGTCACCCCATCCGACAAAAGAACTGGCACAGGCCGAAAGGTGCCCTGAATCGTCATATGAATTCGTATTGGCGCAAGATGCGCTAGACACACCGGCATTTCCATCGGCGGTCTGACATGCACGCTTCTTCAGGTGGTGGAGGTTACCTTGGGCTTCCGAGGCGGCCTCTGCGGTCTCCGGTCGGCTTCTGGCTTGTCGGCGTCTGACTCCCTGGCGGCAGGAGGATCGGCTGCAGATGGGGGTGCTCCGGGATTCACAGCTTTCAGTCGATTCTCCAAGTACTCTAGGTCCCGGAGATAAGCCGTGTTTGCAGCTACCCAGCTGCCGGCTGCTAGCCGTGCAAAAGGCTTCAAGCCGGTCCTCTTCCGCTGCAGTAGGTTCCAGTTGGGATCCGGCAGGGCCGAAAACAGCCAACCCATCGTCGTTCTTCCTGCGTCGACACCGAACTGCTCGGCCATGAGCAGCCCTCGTGAAGCCCAGAACTCTAGAAGAGGATCCTGCTTCTCGCGAGCCTCCTCCCACGCATGAGCGAGAAGATGGGCGAACGCTAGCATGCGATGTTCTCCTATCACCATCTTCCTTTCGACGTAAGTCCTCATGAGGGAACTCGGCGGATCCGAGGCGTCGAAGCCCAGCTCTGCCGCGGCGGAGGCGCGGATGGCAGAAGTGATACTGGTCTGTTGTTGCATCATCTTCACGTAGGCTTCGCGGGCTGTTATTCCTTTCGCCGAACCAGAGGTTGGCTCGCTGGAGCTGCTGCCCGTGAGTGCGGCCGCGATGGGATCGGATCCGGTCTTGCCAGCTAGTCTCTCCAGGAGCTTCGTCTGAGTCAGAAGGATCTGTTGCAGGAGTGGCTGCGAAGATCCCTCGCCCTCCAGCCCGATCGCGCCTGCCTCTTCCTCGGCCAAGGTGTCGTCCTCGATGATGGCTTTGGCTGGTCGAGGTCGGCGCTCGTGCCTCGCTAAGTTCCCCGGTGGAGGTCCCGCTGCCTGGCGGAGCGCATCCCAGTCGTCTGCCCCCAGAGCTCCTGAAGTGTGCTCCGGAAACAGAGGTCGCGCCCCTCGGGTAGCACCAGGCCGATTGGCCCCAGTCGCAGGCTGGTGTCTCGCTTCCAAAGTTCGAACCCGAGCTTGCAGCCTGATCACAGCCTGCTCCGGTGTCTCCTCGATCTCTGGGGGGGGCTCCTCCTGCTCGCCATCTTCTTGGTCCTCGTTGGCCGTGACGTACTCGTTGAGGGCTGGATCGTCGAAGACCTCTGCAATCCAAGCCTCGCTGACATCCATGGCTGAGGAGCGGGTTGGGCGGACGATTGCGCCCTCCTTCTGCATGGTGATCATCTCCGGCCCGCCTCGTCCTGTAGCAGCCTTTTTGAAAGCAGACAGGGCCTCCCACCCGATATCGGCCAGGAGGACCCGTAAGATCCCAACTGGTCTGCGCCTCGGCGTCTCGGCACTGAGCTCGACTTCTCGCACCAAGGCTAGCTCGGACCCATCTGCCCCCATCATGTTCTCCAGAGCTGCTGAAACGCGTTCGTCCACTGGAAGGGCCACCATGAAGCCGCCTGCGCGCACCCGGACTACGAAAGCAACGGCTCTCCAAGCGGCTGCCTCCGATACATCGGCGAGGTATGCCGGTGCAAGAGGTTTCTGCGGGTCTGCTACCTCGGCCAGACGCCGCACCTCTTCCTCGCTTAGAGTTCGCGCGGCCATGGTCGGCCCGCAGCTTGCACGTAGACCACAGCTTCGGTCTTTGAAGCAAAGGCGTGAGACACACTGCCGTCCTGAGGGCGGTTGCGTCCCAGATCGAAACAGGCCTCGCGGTAGCTCCCGAAAGATGAGGAAATGAAGCCGTTGGGATACTGAGTGCACCTCAAGCAGATATAAATCCGATTTGCTAGAGTGCAGGGCGGTGAAGCTGACACGTACTCAGTCAGGGTGTCGCTGCTCAGGACCTGTCTCGCACACCAGCCGGCTCGAGCCGCCCTAGCAATCCGTCCAGTAGCAGTCAGCTCTCCCGCCGACTTGATCTCTCGAGCGAAGTGAGCAAAGCTGCCCAATTCGAAGTCGTTGAGCTCGCTAGCCGTAAAGAGTTCAACTAGCCGGGTCCAGTCGGGATCCGGAATCCCGGCCTGGGCGAGCGGATGCTCGCCTGCAAGTGGTCCAGATTCGGTCTGGGTCCCTTGGTCGACGAGCACAGGTCTGCCCTGCGATCCGCTTGCAGCTGAAGTCCTCTCTCCCTCTGCAGTCACCACAAAACGCAACCCTCGGAAACTGAAGCAAAGCGAGTCCTCGTCAACAGCTCCGATGCTCATTCACGGTATTGCCTCAATCGTTCGATGGCTGTCCCTCGGTGTCTGGTAGAAACCGCAGGACCCTCGAGTGAAGAAGCGAGCAGTCGGCAGAGAAACCCAGCCACTCGGCGAGCTTGCAGCGATAGAGCCAAAGTAGCACACAGGGCCCCGCAGCAGCAACCGATGATCAAAAGGACTATGGCGCAAAGCACAAGGAATGATCCACTACAGCTACTCTGCTGCTGGGGCACCCAAAAGCGTGCTTCTCGGATCAGATCCGAAATCACGCCGGCCCACATAACCCGAAAAAGCTGAAAGTCACTCGCCGCTTTTCGCTACAGACGGTATACTTGCAAACCCTCAGCCCCTAAACCCCTAAGCCCGATAAGGCTAAAATGGCGGCTTGAGGGTGTAAGGAAAATGGGGGCCTTCATGACTTAGACTAGGTTTTGGGAGGTATATTGCCTAGGCCCTCAAGATCCGAATCTTAGGGTTTAGGGGTCGGTGGGGTATGGCCGTACTATTGACGGTTTAGGGCATACCCTAAACCCTAAACCCGAAACCCTAAACAGGATGTTTGTGAGCTAGGTTCGGCGTTCTTTTTGGGTCTTGAGCTTCAGTGTTCAGGGTTTAAGGTTTGCCTGGACCCCAAAGAACCTACCTTGTTAAGGACTTATTATCAAGAAATCATAATAAGGAACCCTAAAACCTACGTTGTTTTAAGGACTTATCATATAAAGAAATCATAATAAGGAACCCTAAAAAGGAAGGTGTTCTAGGGTCAGGGTAGGGGTCAAGGTGGCAGGGGAGTCTTTGCCAGAGTCTGGGGCGAAGATCTTGAGGTTCTTCGCTTGCCAGAGACCCCTCGACCCCTACTTATAACTATCCAAAGGAGCTCTGCCCCTTAATAATAAGGGTACCCTTTTTCCTACTATTTAGTTTTCCTAAGGGAACACAAAAAGAAAAAGGGCAAAAGGGTACTCTGGGGAACCTAGAGCTTGAATTGTAGACGGATCCTTGCCACAACTCAAAGTCGATTCCCGAATCGAAGGGCTTTGGAGTCTCACTTTATTTATGTAGGGTTCGCGGTCGGGGTGTCGGGATTCGGATTGGGGCTCGATATCTGACCAAATAGGGTTTAGGGCCGGTTTAGGGTTTAGGGTATAGTTGCCCGTAAACTTAATCCCTACAGGGTTATCATATGGGTAGTTCTGAAAAAGAGGGTCCCCTTTTGGGGTCCCTTTTTTTTCAGGGTGCCATACTATATTGGGGACCCAAAGGGGCCCTAATTTAGAGAACTATCCATATGTTCTACACCAAAACCCGAGTCCTCATACTAAAGAACCGCTAAAGACTGCGGTACGTTTGAGGGTTCCGGCTTCCAACGGCAACCGCACTACCAGTGAGAAAACTCGCTGAACCTACCCCAAACAAAATCACAACCCTGCAAGCCCGTCCAAAAACAAAAAACAAACCCAAGAAACAACAAAAAAATGAATGAGAGCCCCTACGTCCCTATCGTTCCTCGTATTCTTAAACCCTACACGCTAAACCCTACACCCTAAACCCTAAACCCGACACCCTGAACCCGAAACCCTTAAACCCTTACAGCCCTAAACCCGAAACACTTAAACCTTAGAGCCCTAAACCCGAAACACTTAAACCTTCAAGCCCGAAACCCGAAACCCGAAACACAGGATTCTCGTTCGTTCCGAGTGGCCCCGGTCCGGGTCCAATCCTCATGGAGGCATCCCAGGCCTTGGTGCTTGGGAGGGTTTAGGTTTCTTTTTTGCCGGGCCTTTTTCCGCCTTGGAACGTCACTTTGGCTAGGCCGATCCCTATGAACGACACTGCTTAGGGTTTCTTTTCCATCTCGCCAATCCAGCTAAACGGAATCCACAGGGTTTAGGATTTAGGGTTTAGGGGGGAGGGGAGGGGAGGGCGATGCAAAGGAAGCGGGCTTACTAGGGCTTCTAGGGCTTAGGGTTTAGGATGTAGGAGTTTAGGGCTATTGGGTTTAGGGTCCAGGGTTTAGGGAGTTCATAAAGGGCTCACAAAATCAGCGGTTTCATCTGGCTTTGAAAAGAAAACGTGAGTCTGCCAGGGGTTATGTAAGTTGTTGTGATGCTTCTAGGATGTTCACAGGCCTCAAGGGCTCCGGAAAAGTCGCTCCTCCATCGCGGGCACACTGCTCAAGATCAGACTCTCGCGTAAGCTCAGCCCAAAGCTTGCGTCTGCTTCAGAAGAGGCAGCGGGTGGGTCGAGGGGATGCCAGGCAGGAAGATCCCTTGAGGTTACACCAGGTCTACGTGTCAACTGCACAGCAAGTATACTTACAATCCTAGGTACTATGCTACGTAGCTCTCTTTGTGAAGTATCGCACGGGCATGATGGACCGCCTAAACCCTAAACCCTAAGCCCTAAACTCTAAGCCCTACACCCTAAGCC